AGCGTCCAAAGCTAGGTGCGAGCACAGCTGGGTGCAGATTCCGATGACTCTGAGTGTGAGCTCGCGAAAGCAGACATTGTGAAGTATCTTTGCTGAAAAGTGCATCGCGTAAGACCGTGTTGGCAGTATCACAACTGACCAGGAGCTGGTCATTGCAAAAGCTGCGTGATGCCACAGAGAGGGCACATGCTGAGCGGGCATCTGCGAACTCTGCAGACGTGAAGCTTGTCAACACTTATCAAAATGTTGGCGTGACTTTGTGACTGAATCATGTTTGCTGCGTCAGAACCACGGACACCCTCATTTTGAGATTCTTGGCTAGCTTACGGACACACCTAGCACCAAGCCCCACTTGGGACGCTCAGTGGCAGCTCTTTGAGCTTTGCTGGGAACAGGAACTGCCCCTCCAAGTGCGGGTGGTGCAACTTCATCGCAAAGTGGAACGATGTCAAGATCACCAGTGATATCCCGCACCTTGTACTTTAAAGCTGGAAGGAGTCAGTTTCATTGGCGTTACGTGCCCTGAACATGCGCTGCTATCAAAGGTGGCTTGACGTGAGACAAAAAACAATTCAGCCTGCCATCTTGCCGCGGAGCAATCAAGGTATGGGCGTGCATTTAACTACGCGCTTGACAAAGACGAAGTGCTTTACATGCTGCCAGTGGCGCACAGCAGACCTTTCTTTCTCTGTTTGACCTGCATTAACCCACGGAGGGTGGAAAGGTTCAGTACGCACACACATAATCGGTTCGCACCAAGGGACGAGTACCTCACGCATGATGGCCAGCCTGGCTTCAAACACAAGCCAGTGATGATCGTGATTCATGGTGGTGGCTTCATGGAATCCAGCACCAAAGATTCTAATTGGGCACCAACCGTCTCAAGGTACTTTGCGATGTGCGCAGGCTTTCATTAGCTCATTTTTGCAATCGACATGTTATTCGAAGGCATAAGCCGTAAACCCTTCACTCCAAAGAATATGGCCCTGTGAGTGCAACGCATAAGCTGTCAATTTCACTACGTGCTTGCGTGGAGCAATGAGATGCTGGCATCTCCAGGTTCAAGAGATCTAGGTGAGCACAAGACGGCACGCTTTCTAGGTACGGATTCTACGTGGTATCGATCGAGTATCGACGGTTTGGCCAACACTGCCAAAACTTTCAGAACCCTGGTTGCCCAGAAGCACTGCATGGGGCTCCAGTTCCTTGACTTTTTGCACAGACTGTACTTGTGCCTGAGGCTTTGAGGCTTTGTGGGCCATACTGAGCTCAGGTCCATGATACCAAAGCAGCCGTGCGCTACCTCGTCAAGAACAACGCAGCTTGCTGCAAGCCCTTGCTTTTGGTTTGGCTGCGTGGAAGCCTCTTTTCTTCGGCGATACATCTTCCCGCTTCGCATTTTTGGTTTGCAAGCGTGGCCGTTCCCAGACTTGAGGCTAGACATCTTTTGCATGATGTCGATGTCGGAAGAAGCCTAGGTGAGTCTGTCAATCGACACATCGAAGATAGGCCTCTTTGGGTGTTCAGCGGGTGGGCTGACGTTGACACACCTCATGATGACGGATTATGGTGCCTGGGATGTCAAAGCGAAGCTGCATATTACCTGCCACAAGAATTTTGTAAGAACGCTTCCGTTTTTTGGGTGCGTTGGTAGCGATGCGCTCTCTCAAGTTCCTCTATGATGCATGGAAGGAGATTACCTCATATGGGGTGATGCAGGAGTAGTCACTACTTCTCAGAACCTCGCATCCTTTGCAGAAGGCAGTTCGCAGGGCCAGACATCACTATCTTGCACAGTTCGGGACAACAGTGTAGAGCTTGCTAGCAGGTGGATACTAGGTTGCAGGCGTTGATTTGAAAGTCTTTCGTTCCAGACATAAATAAATTTGTCATTTCTCTAGCGGAAAGCTTTTTGGTTTTTGTGCTGGCCAACCTACAGTGGAAGCAGTCAGGCGAAGGTAGCTCCGGAAACCCTGGCTACCCTTCTGACGTGCATGCCGGCGTCTCCTTGTCAGGCCTCCAGCTTGAGATGCCAGGGTCGCAAATGGCACTTCCGCAGCTCATGCATGCTCATGCTGATTCTGGAGTCATAATTGTGGTCCCATTTGGAGGTCTTCATATTTGGATCTGATTTTTTTTTTGTCGGTGGAACCTTTGCCAGCGAATTTAGAGCGAAGTCACATGGGTCAGAACCTGCTGACGACTTCATGAGACATTGCATACAATGCGCAACTTCAGAAAATCTGTAGAACTAAGTTGTGAAGCTGTAGGGTAGCGCGGCATCACATTCCTCACAGCAGAGATCGTAGAGACTTATCGACATGTTTCGGTTGCGGCATTACTGAGTCAAGGGTTGGGTTGAATGAAATGCCCACTCCACGCAAACGGCATCAATCATAGTCCCCGCAGAGGTAGCTGGCGCAGAAACCATGCAGGGTTTTGTAGTGCCTTTGGTATGGCATGTCTCTTCCAGCAAAACTGTTCTGCGCATTTGGACTGCTGCGTATCATTGCTTATCAGGGCATGTTTGTCGATGATTAGTGCCGGTTCTCGCCTTTGACCCAACGCCGTAAAAGGGCTTTGATGGCAATTCCTGTCTTGGAGAAGATGTTTGTAGCATCCGTGTTTTGACAGCACTTGTGCGACAACTTCTGAAGCGCCGCCAGCTTCGTTTGAAGTGCCTTCAGGCCCCAGACTAGTGCTTGTTAGTCGGACAGGTGGCTTCTGGGACTCGCTCATGGGGAAGTACGAAAAGACGGCAGTTGGAAGCAGCCGGGCAATGTCCATTCGAATTGCTTTGGGAGAGCTTCGACAGGCTTGGAGCACATTCGGCAGCCAGCGCTAGAATGTTCATGCCGATGTGACGAGTTGATTGAGTATTTGTCGGGCATTGGCTTGTGGACTCCTGCGCATGTCATGCTCTATGGTAGGTTGGCTTGCGCAGAGACTCAGCCCTACACCAAACCTGAAACGCTTCACAGCAAATCTTGATGTGCTACCTGCTGTCGCTCCTGCCAACCGACTGCCAAGGCATTCCTCCATATATGGCAATCCATAATACTGGAGACTGGATTGTCGGTTATTCAAGGTAGCTTTGATGCAGGAAGTTCATGCTGAGGAATAGGTGCCGAGCGTGTGTTCATACCAAAAGCCAGAAGAGTTTTTATGGTTTGGAATGTGCTCGAAACTAGTGTTTGTATGTGTTTGTGCTGCGGGCCCTCAGGGCGGAAAAAGCCATCCAACTGGCAGAGGACTGCAGCGTTGTTCAGACGCAGTCCTGAGCAGTTGCTGGGTATGCATGCCTCTGCATCTCTGAAGGTTGCCGAGCTTTGTGTGACTACGATGGACCTAATTAGGTTTCGTTGGGTTGTCGGAGGATTACCATCGCATCCGTGTAAGCTAATTGCAGAGGCACAGCTCTGGAAGTCTGTCATACATGCACTCCCTTGCAAACCGCATAGGCATTAACAAAAATGATAAGGCATCAACAGATAATTTGGCAAGCATCAAAAATAATTTGAGCTGCAGGCCATTGGCTTCTTGGCTTTTCAGCTTTCCTAGCTTTGGGATTGTTCTGCATGACATGCAGGCCTTTGGCTTCGTGGCTCTTGTTCTTATGTGTTTTGCCACTATTGTGCGTGTCCGTATTCGTATTACAACTCTTACTATTCCCCTTCTCTTTCTTCTTGCTAACTAAGAGTATATCCTGCAATTTTTCTTGATGCATGTCAAATTATTTTTTTCCCGGCGCAGACATTCAATTTTCTTGTTTTTTGTTTTTTCTTAGATGCTTAGCATTTTTCTTTTTTGATGCGTCTCGCTGCATGGTAGCTATTGCCGGTCTTAAGACAGAGGCTGCGCTGCTTGCTGAATTGCAATGCCGACATCCATCTCTGACCACAGGACCTGGAAGCTCCATACCACCTCATGACGCTGCCTGGGAATGGCCATTGCCCGAGCCTTGTTGCGGATTGTCAGGGGTAGTTGAATGTACAAGACCTGGGTCTGGCCTGTCTTTGTTTTTGTGCTGGCAATGTGCATCTTTTACCGGACCTGGGGCAGGTTGCAGGCTTGGGTTTGGGCATTGCAGCTTGCTGAATCTGAGGAATGTGATCACGCCTGCATCCTCTGACTACGAGTTCGACAAAGTTATCGGATTCTTGGCCAACTCGCTCCAACTCTGCAACGAAGTGATCGTCTATCCGTAGAGAGCAGCATACAGCTGCTCAGATTCGCATTTTGAAATGTTTTAAGATCTACGCTGAAGCCTGTTGACCTGCTGGAAGCTTGAACTCTTCACGTCCAGCAAAGCTGACTGGACGACTTGGCGAGGTCGTGATTTTTTTCAATGTTCACGTTGCTATGACACGGGTGGTGAAAGCTGCCAGCACCCAGATACAGAAATGCTGGATCACATAATTCGGCCAAACACACGACATGCTGACTCGCCTTAGCAACGTGATCTCTACAGTTGACGCCCTAGCGCTCGAATCTCAAGGGACTCGGCAGGGCTAGCTTTACAACACTGGATACCAGCAAACCCTTCTGCGCCAGCTCTAGGTCCTATGTGGCACCTTGACAACAACTCAGTGTAGTCTGTACAACACGCTGGGGCATTCAGGGCTTCTGAAAAGTCGGAGATCAGAAGTCCCTGCGTAAGTAAGTTCAGCAGAGAAAGCAGGTGAGGTGCTCCAGGCATTCTCTTTTTTCGTGCAGAAAAGCCAGACCGCTCGAGTCCTTTGAACGTGTGAAGGAATTCAGTCAGTGACTTTGCAAGTGAATCGCAAAAGGCGTAAACTTGCACGCGCTGCAAGCCTTTGAAAATGGCAGAACTCGCAGATGCCGCTTGTCTTTGTTGCCCAGATCGAAATGTCTTTGCACAGATAGCAGGCAAGGAGCCGATGCGCCTATGCACTTACTGCTTGCTTGTGTCATTGGCTATTCCAAGCCCAATTCCATTCTCTTAAGCCGGGCTACTTTTCTGGCCATTTCTGCGCGAGGACCGCATTGGATGGAACCCAAATCAAACAGCAGCGAAGGCAGGGTCTGGCAAATTCTTGCTACTTCTTTTCGCGAAGCTAGTTTGGATTCAGTTGCTGCTTGGGGGGCGTACGTCCTGATTATCACCAGAGCTGATAGCTCCTTGGAGCTTGCTAGAGGTTTGCTCAGTATGCTCAGCCCGTAGGTTCTCAGGCCTGCCAGGGAAAGGCTCACGGGGTGTGCGGTGGGGGGATGTATTCTGAATTGTCCTGCTTGCATGCATGGTTGCATGGCTGAAGGTTCTGGAGATACAGTTTACCGGTGCCCTGTGCAGGAAAAAGAGACAGACGGTGCTCTGGCTAGCTTTGCCTGCGCCCGTGTTTAATCTTGTCGTGGTAGCGGAGCTCTCTCCTGGGGAAGCTTTTTTTGCACAGAGGTACCCCTCAGGTGATGCACATTGTTTATGCATGTTTACGCCGGGGAGGCTCCGAGGACCCAAGGTTGTCAAGCAGGTCAAGCTATGGAAGGTTTCGGACGCCGAATTAGCACAAGGGCATCGATCTCCGTGGGTAATAACGAGACGAGGACCCTGTTTACGCGCCAAACTTTCAGTCCCTAACGACGTGAGGAGCCCTCCAGTTCACAATGAGGAGAGCAACAAGAAGGTGAGCGTGATTTTGTGGTTCTGAAAAACGTTTCCCTGGAACCTAGGCGGGTAGAGCTTTCTTTTCCAGGTCATGAGCTTAGTGATGCTTAGTGCAGCATCACGTAGTTTCCAAAAGACGTGTCGTAGGCCTGAAACACGAGGTAGTGTTGTACAAGCTACATGTCAAGCATTGCCACGTGTCACCCCCGCAGTTTTGTAGAAGGACCAGCGTGTTGAACTTGCCTAAGTTTATCCACGAGAAGTACGACAACGTCGTGAAGGGCTGTATGGTATGTGGTACTTCGGCTTCAAGTCCGCCGCGAGCGAGATTGTCAGGAATGCGTGCGTCCGAACTCGGTGACGTAATTTTCGCAGACCGTCAAAAAATTCAGCTTAGGAACGCGAAGTACATTGTAGTCCTAGTTTTGGATGGGTGCTGCGAATGTCCTGCTGGCTACGTCTCATAGAACCTTACTACCGGAGGAAACTATTTCGCCTCTGTGTTCGTGGATCGAGGAAAACAGCTGTGCGCCGAAGAAATTTGTAGTATATACCGCTTTACGCCCCACCGATTTCGAGACATTCTACAAGTGCCAGAACATCGCTCAGTATTCGTGCGGCCAGATGACACCTTGCCCAAGCCATGCTGGGGCCGACATTCAGTTGCTCAAGAAGACCCGGGTTCTCGTCGCTCGGCGAATAAGGTTTGTTTGAAAAGGTCATATTTGTAGGGGTAGCTACAGGTAGGAGACCTCCAGACTTTTTTAAGATGTGGAGACCGCCAATCTGAGCAGCTTGCCAACAAAGGGTTGCTTGAGGAAAGGACAGTGCTGCAGGCTGCAGCTGAGGACCGTTGCCATGACAGCAAATCTGGAGCGCGGAAGCCCGCTGACGTCAAGAAGGACTTAGCTAGAAAACTGCTGCCCTCAGATGGTCTTTGCACTAGGGGGGAGGCGGTCTTCGTTTGGAACACGGGTGATAACAAGAACGAGCGAGGAAGGTTGGATGCGAGGTATTGTAGTTTCCCACCAGGTTGCTATGGAAAAAGGCTGATCGGAGTCAATCAGTCCAGGGCAAGAAGAGATCGTGATGAGTTGCATGATCCTCAGCCGGCAGGTTTTGTTAGCAAAAATCAGGCGCAGCTACAGCATCCAATCTTTCAGGCCGTGTGGTATGCCACCACCAGTTGTGCTGTGACAAGGGTCCCATAGATTGCGTAGAAGTGTTGAATACTCGTAGTGGAGTAGGAGACTAGGTGAGTCTTGCTTCAGTCGTTAGCGTCAATTGGCAGACTTAGATTGAGTCGCAGCACCTATTGCGTCAGCTTGGAAATTTCTCGCTACGTATGATTCAGCCTTTGTCATCCCGCGCGCTATGATTCTGAGGGAGGGGCTTGATGCATAGACGCATTCTGGTCCTGTTCTGCAACGGGGCCCTGCTTCTGTAGTCACTACGTGGGAACCTGGCGACTTCTTCAGTGACGTTCCCCGCTTTGTGACAAGCCGCTTTGCGCTTTGAGGATGACTTGTCCTGGATGCCCCACCCACCTTTCTGTGTATACTTTCAGTATCTGTCAATGTTTTTTTCTGACGCATGGGAGCCGGGTAGGATTAGGGGTCTGACTCGCCACAGTGAAGTTAACGCCAGATATTTGTGTGCTGTTATGGTCTGTCAGAAGTTCGGTCTGGAGGTCCCTGGGTCTGGCAATAAGTTTGGGGGAACGGAAGTTACTTTGGATCTGAACCAATTGCGCAGACTCCTCCTCGAGTTTTTGGGGTCTGTTCAACGTTGCGTCCTAAGCAGGATCTAATTGTGAAGGAAGAAGATACTGAGCCCGCTGCAGGATTACCGACACGTTCGCTTACGATGAGGGTGCTGTGCCAGCGAACTTGCTTGACAGCGAGATGGCTGCGCCGCCAGTGGATTCACTGGACAATGGGATTGGTGGTCTCATAGAGCCAGTGTCGGATGATGAAGCCATGGCACTTGCTGTTGAAGAGGCCGCTGAGGAGATCCCAGATAACTCAGCCCTCCTGAGCCGGTGCTCACTGAGCAGGATTTCGATGTCCTCTCCCTTCCATTTCCTTCTGGACAACATTCGAGAAAATGGCAAGGGAATCTGGCGTAGCTACCTCCGCAAGTCTCATGCTGTCTGTTCTTGTAACTTTTTCGCAGCAGGAATTGTGGTGATATTTTGCATGCAGGTGAAGGTCATGTGCCAGAGTTTTTCCATCCTTGGCGCAGGGTGTCTACCAGGGATTATGAAAAACACGGTTCCTAGCGCTGGAGATGATAGAGATTTGCGCAATCAGCCAAGATCATGCGTGTGAGCGTCTGGAACTCATCAACTAAATCCACTGATATCAAAGTGCGGAGGTCAGCCTTAGTCACTTCAGTAGGCGAAATTGTCCTTGCCCCCGCTGATTTTCGTCCAGCCCTCCAGGATGTTGGGGTTGAGGTGCGACTCGGCTGACGCAGCGGAGGCGATTGACCAACTTCAAGTTACCGCCGCCCCAAGTGAGAATGCTGAAGAAATGAGGGCGCTCGACCAACGTTGAGATGCCTGTTTTTTTTGAGTGCGTGCTGAACCTTGGCAAGTGGGATAGGTCACGTAAAAGGCACACCTGCATGTCTTATCATCTGAGATTCATCGGGGGCACGAAGCAGATCGAGCATGACTCAATTTGTTTTTCCAATGCCCGTGTAATTTGTCAGCGCGTGCCGCAATGATGTCAAGAAGTGATCAGGGACCAGGAGAAAGCATGCAGCGTGGTGCAGCAACGGATGGCTCTTCTGACAATTGCAAATCCATGGCCTGGAACCTTTGTCAAGCATATTGCTGGCGCGCAGACCTTCAAACTTATAAAAATTCATTGGGCAAAGAGCGCTGGCGTTATTTAAAGAAAGGCGGATAAAAGGTGGAAAGTTGGAAAGGTGGCGGTGGAAAAAAGGTAAATGGGGGTGGAATGTGGTAGAATTTCTTATCGCTTTCTATTTTTCTACCTTTTTCTAATTTTTTCTGCCTGTTTTCTATTTTGTCATTTTTTTCCTTTTTCTGTTTTTTCCACCTTTAGCACCCTTCTGTACCGTTTTGCAACCTTTTCCCTTTTCCTTTTTCTGCCCTTTTCCCTTTTTTACATGCTGCATTTCCCGTATGTCCATATGAGTTTTTTTTGAATATATAGTCTCAGTCTCAAACACCGTGAAGAAAGAGCTTTCCTACGGGATCTTCGAAGTGAATCTCGGTGCTGAATCGGACAGCCATACAGGACACGAAGTATCCACCGTGTGATGTGCGTTTGACGCAACATAAACAGTTTGGCTCGAGACTGGAAAAAGACGTTCGCTGAGCGTCAGCTGCCTGACTCACCACAAACGTGGTTATCAGCCGAAAGCTTCACGGCGGCGGCGATCCGGGCTTACAAGGATTTGGCTTCTGAAATCTGTTGTGCGCTTGCATGTCCGATCGGCCTGAAAAGCTAGACTCCTGTGGACAGCCATTTTGCATTAGGAATCGCGGTGGTAGTAAAGCGCATAAGTCAGAAGAGCTGGCTAACAGAGTGCATGCTGGGAAACACGTTCCTAAGCAGGTGTGGTCAGATGATCGGCGTCGGGCGTTTGAATCCGGTAGGGAGGTTAGTGGTCCAGAACGGCGCGCGGGCGCGGAGGACGCGAGGGTTGAGGGTGAACTTGAGGGTGCTACTGAGAGCTTTACGTCCTTTGTTAGGGTTCTAGCCCCGCCCAAGCCCGAAAGTAACAACCCCCCGTCGCGTGGGCCAGCCAAGGTATCTTCCGAGGCTGGCGCTGCAAAGCCACCGCCCGCGGCTGCCTGTTCAGGGTTTGTTGTGGTTTCGGTTGCGGGGGCTTTGGGGGTCAATTCGGATTCGGAGTCTTCTGCCGCTAATTCGGGCTCGTGGGCTCCTGCTGTGAGTTCGGGCTCGGTGGCTCCAGAAAGCAGTTTGGATTCTGCGGCTGTGAATTCGGGTTCGGTGGCTCCAGAAAGCAGTTTGGGTTCTCGCCAGCGGAGGGCGGATTCGGCTGCGCTCCCAATCGCTAAGTCGCGTGCGGCTTCTTCAGCAGTAGAGACCAGCTTCAGGGTTGTTAGTGATTTTCACTTCGCGCACGCACCGTCTTTTGTTTTTTTTGCCTATTTTTCTAGATTTCTGTATCTGCACGCACGCTGCCGAAACCCTCAATTTTTTGGTAGGGTTTTCTTTAGAAACGTTTATTGAGCAAAATCTCTTGCCCACACTTTTGGTTTTTGTTGTTTTAATTTCTTTTCAAACCGAGTGGAACGCCCGCATTTCGCAGAGGACTCTTTCAGGAAAGGACGGTGCCGTATTTAACTGCGGCTGCAGCGAGCGGCAATTACGCAGCTGAAAGCACACCGAGACGCGTGATAAAGGGCTTGTG